TTTGACCTATTACACATTGATAACTCTAATATCATAGTTCATAAGGATGGGAAGGTTAAGACTGAATTTGTCCAAAAGATATGTGAAAGGGTGAGGAACCAAATAAAAAAAATATGAACACTGTGCTAGGGTTGCTAATAAAGGAAGGTATGAGATATTCCTAAAAGTAGGTGATTATGTTTGGCTTCACTTGAGAAAGGAGAGGTTCCCTTCTCAAAGAAAATCCAAACTTAACCTTAAAGGAGATGGTCCTTTTCAAATAATTGAAAAGATCAATAATAATGCTTATAAACTAGACTTACCCGATGATTATGATGTGAGTGCTACTTTTAACATTTGTGATCTCTCCCTTTTTTATGTAACTGACCAAGATGATGGCTTAGATTTGAGGACAAATCATCTTGAAGAACGAGGGCATGATGGGGATCTCAAATACAAAGAGACTATAGAACACTATGAGATGCTTTAGAGGGACTTCAAGGCCCTATGATTAGATTAAGAGCTAAGAAGGCTAAAGAGGCCATCAATAAGCTTATTGAGCATGTGAAGCACTAGGAGGAACTACATCCTTGGAGGATCACAAGAAGACCTATACATACTTCACAAGCATCATAATAGATACATAGGCCTCATGTGTATATCTTGTAAGATTAGGTCACATCTTTTCTTTCTATAAATATCATATATTAGTTTAGGATTTCTTCGTCATATTTCATTAGTTAGCCTTATATTTTTGACTTAGTTGCTTAGGATCTTTTAGGCAATGTATTTAGGTCACCTTTAGTTAAATAACTTAGGAATTGAGCTTGACTTTAGGAAATCCTATTAGCATAACCATCCTACGTAGCCTATATAAAGGTTACTCCTTTTGTAATTCACACGCCTTTAGTCATAAATGCATAATACTCTTTTGAGTTTATGAGATTCATTTTTCTTTTTTTTCTCAATTGTTCAAGTAGAACTTTGAGCTTGAAGTTCATAACAATGAATCCTTTCATTATGGAAAACCATGCTTAGGGCTTATCTCCAACGAGTGGCATCTTTCCCTTTCCATCCTTTCTCCCCGTCATTGTTCATCCTTCTTTTCCTTTGTTATTCATTCAATTGTTCCGAAATTGCTGCAAAGTGCTCCTTGGCCGAGAACTTCTTCACACAAAGAGGAATCAAGAAGCAAGTTTCCTCAAGAATAGATCCACCTCCTACATCACCATCCCATTTTTCATGTACGCTTATCTCCTTCCTTCCACAAAACTAAATCTCAATCCCTTAAGTTTTTGAACAATTTTTTCTATACAAATTATTTCCTTCTTCATCTTAACCTTTATTATTATAGCTACTATTTTTTATAATATAATTTCATCTATTGTTATAAAAGAAAAACATTAGGTCTAACTAGTGTGCGTGATAAATTTTTCACACACTCAATGTTATCTAATTAGCAATATTAGAGAATTAATACAAATTATTTTAATATATTTATTGGAGCTTATCAATCACATCTTTTACGTTGTTCAATTTAATTTTTAATTTTTATATTCAATTGTGAACTAAAGTAAATAAAACTACAAATATTCTAAATATATATTATTTTTTCTATTTTTATTATTAGGTGTGATAGATTTTCCATGAATTCGATATTTTTTAATTAGTAGTTTTAAATACTTGATTTAAATAATTTTAACATATTAACTGGAACTTATTAATCACATCTTTTACGTGGATCAATTTGATTTTAATTCTTGGAACATCCTAAAAATTTACCAATTTTAAATTAATAATTAATCATATCAATTTAAATAAATTATAATTAAATAATATATAGAAAATAAAACATACTTAGTAAAATTTACCTAAAAAAGACAAATAAAGGAATAATTATGTAACATAATTATAGAGTAACCTAATTTTTAGTAAAGATTAATTACAAAATTATTCTAAATAATTTTATACTATTTAAATTAGGGATTACAAGTATTATATTGAGTTGGGATGAAACAAAAATAAAAAAGTAAATAAAAGTTGCAAAATTGGACAAAATGATCAAAATATACCTAGAAAAATCTAGAATGTTAGCTCATTTTGTATAAGATGAATATGAAAAAAAATGAAATTTTTATGGAAAAATATTACTTAAATATAGAACTAGACGTTCAAGAACTAAGCGTAAAGCTTGAGTACAAAACTCAAACCAAATTCTCCAAAAATGACTTGGAAATTATGTGGAAATTGTTAAAATTTTGGGCAAAACTTTCAAAATTTTCCATCCTATCCAATCTTGCTCATTTATCATGAATTGTAACTTAAAACTAAAGCTAAATTGTTCATGATTGAGTGAGAAATAAATTAGATAGAGCAAGTAAATGGGAGACGTGACTTGACACAATTGTGTGTTCATAAAATTCAACTAAAATCGAAATTAAAAAGAGTATAGTGGTGGTATATTAGTCCATGTTTAGCACCATATTCCCATTTTGAGAATAGTAAAGTGGTTGAATTTTTTTTTCAATTTTAATAATAAAATCATATAAAAATTTGAATCAATTCAAACTTTAAATTCAAATTTATCAATATTTAAAAAGTTTAATTGATTGCATTAGAATTAATTCCAATAGGAAATGAAGAATAATAAATAAACTTACTAAGTAATAATTATTCATTCTTTTATATTTAAAATTTAAATTAAATAAATTTTTTAAAAATAGAAAAAACAAAGAAGAATACGGAAGAAGAAGCTTTCCATTAAGAGACTGACACCTTATTAAACAAACTTTCTACAAAATATACTAATAAATGTATATGATATTAGTGTTTTAGTCCATACATTGCACATAATAATTTATAATATTAAATTTTAATATATTATTTATAAGAAAATATAAAATAAATTCAAGCTATTCAATTTTTAAATTAACAAATTATTGTAAGGTATATTAAATTTAAAGAAAATTATATTAATATCACTAATATTTAAAAGATGATATTATTATCATTAATTTTAATTTATTATAAAATTATTATGATTATTAAAGTAAATGTTATTATTTTGTCACATAAAAAAAAAGAATTTATTCTAATAATATAAATATAGCAATTTTTCTTAAATAAATTTACTTACGAAAATAATTAAAAATACTAATATGGATATTATAATCACTTATATATTTAAAGATACAAGAGTATGACTATCTAATAAATGGTAAGATATCAAAAATTCTTCTAATATAAAATTAATTTCAGAAAAATAATGTATATTAATCAATTTAAATACTAATAATATCCAAAATTTATATTATAGAAAAGGAAAGAATTAGTTGTTACCTTGTTAAGTTTATTAAAAATATGTAAATAAATAATTACATTTTTTTAAAATAATAACTGTTTTAAAAAAATTAAAAATAACATATTTTAAATATCTAAAAACTTGATATTTTTTATCTATAAAATTTATTAAAAATTAAATTTTAAATATTTAAATTTTTTAAACTTACTGTAAAAAGTTATTTTGCTAACTCTTAGTTACTTTTACTGACTCAATACAGCCTTCACCAATTTAATAGGCTACGCACGTTAATTGTTGATTTTAAAATATATTTGGCAGGCCAAGTTCATTTGGTGGCAAAAAATGCAACAATTAGTGGGAGTAAGAACATGGTGTTGGCAAGGGGACAGGCATGGGGCAGATATACCCTTCTCCAAACTCCATTTTTTCACCGAAACCCAACCTTGCCCCCATTTTTGTTGCTGTTTCTTCTATATTAATTAAAACCAAAAATAATTAAATAATAATGTTTTAATGATATTTTTCTTTATTTTATTTTTTTAATATATAGCCAAATGAAGGAGTTGGTTTTGAATTACCGCACTGAGTTTATACAACTGAAGGGAAGAAAAATCACCTTCTCTACGTGGCTCTTTTTTTTTATATTTTTTTAGGAAATTATAAAAATATGGATTTTTTTTAAAAATTAAAAAATATGTATAAAATATATTGAAAAATTTTGGTATTTTTAGAATATTTTAGTACTATTTTAAAAATCGTGATAGGTAACTTTTGCTTTTTTAAAATTTTTTAATATTTTTTAATTTGAAAAATTGCCATTTATGATTTTTTACGCTTTACAATTTTTTTTATTTATATCTCTGAATTTTTGTATTCTCACAAAAAATTTCTATTTGATGATTTTTAAGCCTCATAATTTTGAAATTTTAAAAAAAATCATATTTTTGTATATATTATTTTTAAAAACCATGTGTATGAAGCCAAGCCTCTTTCCGTTACACTCTCAATTGTTAAATAAATTTATTAAAAATTATCAAATTTAAGTAAGAATTAATGAGATTTATATAATTTTTTAAAATTATTTAATAATGCATTTAAAAAATTACTTTTAAAAAAAATATTACTAGTATTTTCCTTGGAAAAAGGAAAAACAACCCTCTATCAATTCTAACTTCTTACTACATACTTTATTTATTTCAGTGGTCTAATTATATTATCCAAAGGCTATTCCTTAATTTGAGTTTTATATAATGTAAATTTGATTAAAAGTTTATGTTTGTTGTCCAAGAAATTCAATGCCTCACACTAAAGTTGCACTTGAATGTATTTTATTTTAACTCTTATTTAATAATTATTTTTCTAATGAAAACTTATAAATTTATAAATAGAACTTATTCAAATAAATTATAAATACTATATTTTGATAAATTATAAAATAAAAATATTCCTAAGCTCTTCCAAGCAAGCGCACTCTCATTAATGTATAGGAATCGCATAAAAAATTATCATAACGGATAAAAATCAAAACTCTAATTTATCGTAATGAACAAGTCAATTTCTCTCTCTTCCTGTTATCACATCACATCGCATTTTCACCTCATTCAGTAGACAAAGCCAGAATTGATAATAAAGTCATATATAGAAATTAATTATAAAAACTGAATTTTTTAGCATAAGAACGAAATTAATAACCGTATCATTTATAGAGAAAAATAATTTGATTAAACCAAACCCAAAAGCAATAGTCAATAACCATTTTATACTAAAAATTTCAAAACAAAAACACTAGAGCCAACACAAAAGTAGGAAACAAATATTGCTTAACTACCATGAAACTATAGGATAATTGATATGCACAGTGAAGACACTTGTTTAATCTCTCTCACACACATATATGAAGGATAACATTCTGCATTGATTCAAAGAACCACTGTCAGAAGCCAATCAATTGAATTTAATCAATGAACGGCATGACATAATTCAAGTTGTCAATGAACCAAGCAAAGAAGCAACAAGATTGACCGTATAACAAATATAAAAAGTCTATATATTGCTTCTGTTCTCAAATCGGCGCCCAAACACTTTAAGAGACGAACTATTAAAGAAACAAAACAGAAAAACATGCAAAGAAAACAAAAACAATCCTAACAACGTTATCTTCAAGCACCCTTATCAGCTTTAGCAGCAGTTGCAGCAGCTTGACCTCTAAGACGACCCGTCCTCCTTGCAGCAATAAGACCAACCTTCTGGCCAGGAGGAGCATCACGCCGGACAGTACTGGCATGTCCAATATGCTGGTGGTTACCTCCTCCATGAGGATGCTCAACAGGGTTCATGGCAACACCACGCACCTTCGGCCAGCAATTCCTCTTCACCCTGAACTTGTGGTAAGCATTTCCAGCCTTAAGAAGAGGCTTCTCAGTTCTCCCACCACCCGAAACTTGCCCAATCATAGCCCTACAATCACTTGGAACGATCTTCTTTGAACCAGATGGAAGCTTAATCCTGCATCGATTCACACTTTTACTTGCTAAAGATTATGAAAAAGTAACTCACGAAAGAAATTAAATACAACTACTATCCTTCATTTCCGCCAAATCATATATATTATTTTATATTTTCTAACACAATGTCCAAACCATTCATACAAAAAATGATAACAGTTTTTGCCATATGCGTTCCAAAAGTTTTCATACAATTTAGCGCTGCTCTTTACAAAACCTTATAAAAACTGCGCCCAAATATCATAGAATTCAAACAAAACCCTAAACCAAAATTTCAGCCCTCCTCTTCGACAAAATATTAATTACACTATGGACTTCAAATCGCAATTACTGCACCACAAATTTCATTTCCAACTTCTAATGTCCAAGTAATTGAATCGACAGCGCAACAACAACAGCACCACTAATGAGAAACGAAATCTGGCAATTCTAGTCAAATTTTTTAAGAGAAATAGAGGTGGTTACCTAGTGGTGTCGTTATCAGGGTTGTGGCTGATAACGATAGCGTAGTCGCCGGAGGCCCTAGCGAAGACGCCACGGTCGCCGACGTGGTGTTCGACGTTGCAGATGACAGCACCTTCGGGGATGGATCGGAGGGGCAAGACGTTACCAACGACGAGGGTGGCTTTTTTGCCACAGTAGACGAACTGGCCAGTGTACATGCCCTCAGCGGCAACGAAGAGTTCGTTCTGCTTCTTGTACCTGAATGGGTGGCGGAAAGTGACCTTGGCGAGAGGTGCACCGCGACCAGGGTCGTGAATGACGTCGGTGACCACACCCTTCAGGTAACCGTTTCGTTCGCCGAAGTCGAGGCTGCGGAACCTGGCTGGGCCCTTGCGGTGATGAGTGTGCGACTTGAATACTGAACCCGCACCCTTACGCTGCGCACGGATCACACGCCCCATTGCGGCTCTATGGAATGAGGGAACAACCACTTACCTTCCTCTCGAAAGGGGGATTCTAGGACATATTGTTGCTGGTGAGGGTTACGGAGGAGCGAACAGTTTTGTTTTTTTGGGTTCAAGTTATGGACCTACTTGGGCCTGTGTGAGCCCAATATGATTTGGACTGTTCGGGTAAAATGCTTGACTAATTTGGGCTGAGAAAAAGGACCAAGCTCAACCATTACGTCATACTTTGACAAAAAGGATAGTAAACAATTTTTCCATGCTAAAAATATTTATATAAATATATTTACTTTTTATCATAGTTGTTTACATATTTATGAAAATTAATTAATAACAAATATAAATAATTTATGAAATTATAATTAATTAAAACATATATTATTACAGTACTTACGGTGCAATATTGTAAATAGACTGCTGACGATATGTTTCTAAAAGGGATCGATGCATTTATTAGAAAGTTGAATTACTTAATGACTTGTTAATGGCTTTGCTCGAAATTAAACAAAATTAGCACGATCGATCTCTTAAGAGGGTATCAACTAGTTCTCAAATACAGAAAAAAATTAGGAGGAACATACACGTACACATACACATACAGTCGTTCATTTTAGTGCTTAGTCACAAATGAAATTTGAAAAACATTTGACATATATGAGATATCTATAACCATCATGCTGTCCACTATCCTGTACCATATTTCTCGATGGATGCCTATAATCAGCGTTTGGATGGGAACAAAAGCAACATAAGGAAGACCAACACAGTAACTAATTGTCTCCATGAATTCATGCAAGTAGAAAACAAAATTGAACATTTTGTTTGAGTTTTGGAAGACACATTTGATATTTCCCATTTCATAATAACTAAGCATTAATGGTTTACTTTTTGTATTTGGTTTTAGTTTATATATATTCCTTGCTGGTGAGTAGTAGATAAGAATGCCAGTTTTATAATAAGTATGTGTATATATGAACCTAACATGTGAGCCCTACAATTTCTTCAGCAACCGAACCCACCTTGTGTGTTCCTTCTCTCAATTAATATAAATAGCAGGCTTTAGACTGAGAAAGCAACACGGAACTGCAAGTCTTGTAGTCTATAATGCCCTATGACTGTATCTTTGAAGTAGACTTGATAGTGAGGGGACACTAGCTAGAAGTTCTATATTTAATTTTTTTTTTGGACATTTCTCTTGGTTTTTTTTAATGTATAAAATTTAAACATAAAGTCAGCCTTAAGATTAATTATATTTTGAAGATGAAGGACATGTTTTGCCTTTTGATTTGACTTTTCATATTTCTCGTTTATGAGTGGTGAGTTTTCTTTTCTATAAAACATGGAAGGTGTTTATTATATTCGAAAGAATGAGATAAGAGGATGAATTATATTATTTAGTTATTTATCATTATAGGACATCTTTTTGTATATACTAGAACAACATCCAAACAATCCATTCTAACCAAATGACAACATTCAAAAAATCACATACCACCAAATGATCAACAACCAACTTAGTAGAACTTGGTAAAACTTTAGACCATCCTACCCATTACAAACCTGATTGATTTTTTGTTGAAAACCATAAAAATTGATTTTGAGAAGTTGAAAAAATCGAAGTTATAGAAATTAATTTATAAATCATGCTAACTGTTCAATTTGATTTTGGGAACTTTGTTGCATTAGGTCAACTAAGAAAATAACGGGCTCTATATAGAATTGAGAATCCATTCTTTCCGCATACAAAGCTCGTAAAATTGCATTATGACCAAAGTATATTAAAGCCATTATGTTAAAAAAGAAATCTTGATGTCAAATTGTTCATACCATAAGGGTCAAACTCTCAAAAACTAAGTAAACAATGTTCCATGCATATGGTCAATAAAATAGTGAAATATTACTTCTACTCTTATTTAATTTTTCAGGCTGAAAAATTACATAGACTAAAGAATACAATCATGAAGTAAATTTAATAATTTATTCTTTATTAAAAATGTCCTTTTAACTCTTAGACTCAAATACTATAAATGTTGATATAGATAAAACAAAAAGTTATTAAAAAAATAGAAATTGATATTGTCTTAACATTTATATAGACACATAAATAGGAATAAATATTTTCTTTTCTCTCTAGATAATAAAAATAAAGCTAATATTTTCATTCAATAGAGTTTAAGAATATTATGACTATTTATGAAATATGCAAAACACTACAAAGTTGAATTTTAAAATATTGGAAAAGGTCCCTACATAGAATAAATTTTAAAATAAATAATATCAATTTTCTTTATCCAATAGTCTCTAAATTAATAAAGTTTAAAAAGTATGAATTTCGTCGTGACTAACTAAAAATTCACATTAGAAGTCATAACCCTTATTGATTAGAAATGTAAAATTAACATTCAAATTCATGGTGATTACGAGTGAATTTATTTCTGAAGACATTCAATTGGACACATACATAATGTAGAATAATTCTTTTCGTGTTAAAATCCAATATCTTTGGAGTTTGGGGTTTTTGTCTAGCAAATTAAAAGGTACAATAAGTTATTTCCTTATGCTTTTACCCATAATGTACGTGTTTAGGGGAAAATTTTCTTTTAAAAAATTCTTCAAGATATTCAAAAGAACAATTCAGTACTTGAATTAAATCTTAAGGGGCTCTAACTTGATAGGTTTTTTGTGTTAAATTACAGTTTAAGTTGTAGAAAAAGTAAATAAAAAAAATGGAAGAAAGATGAATAAAAATAAAATGAAGATAACATTAAACAAATACAAACATAAACAAAATTTGCATAAAAGAGTCGGTAGATTACATACTTATTCATGTCCCTTTAATAGTCAATCATCATTGAGTGCATGTGTTAAGTATTTTTAAGGTGTTTAAATAACTAAATTGTGCAATGTTTCATTCTAAATAGTAGGTTATGTTATCTAGTTTATATAGATGACTCTCCTGATAACTATATACCCCTCTAATATGTACTAATATAATTACATAACTTCCTACTTAAAATATCACGCATATAAATAATATTAAAACTAATAATAATAACTCTTTAGAATTCTAACATCACCAAGTATTTTGTAAGTCTCGTGGGGTTTATCTTGAGACTTTGTACTTGACACCTAAATTTCATTAAATCACTCAAATCCTTCATAATAAGAATCTTTCAAAAAGTATAACTACTCTTGTACTTTTTTAAATCTCATTAAGCTCTTCAAATAATTTTGAACACTTTAAACCTTATAAATGGAAATTTACTTCGAATACTTCAATGAGAATGTACTTAGTTTTTCAAAAGCAAACACATTTCAAGCTTTTCAACTACATAGTATTTCATGATAAAAATTTTATATTTCTAATAGTATAAGATGAGTTACATATTATGTATAACATTTATGAATTATTTACATTTGTATGATTTTAATATAAGTAATCTAATTTCAATAAGTCCTTTAGACTACTAATAAAAGGAAATATGAGCATAATAAGTAGAACCTAGATTTAGGCCTATTAGGAGATAATGGAAACCCTAATAGGTTTAAAATAGAAAGTGTGGTTATGATCCCTAGTAGACCAAGTCAAAATAGTTTACTCTTTTTCCATTAAAAGAGAAAACATTAGCCTCAACACAGAAATAAAGTAATTTGGCTTATGAAGTTCGTTGCACCAAATGTTCTCGCTCATCAGTGTACCAAAAGCTCACATTCCACTGTGTTTATTTTGAAGAGCTCCATGGATCTAGGTATTCTAAAACTTCATTCTTCTCTTAGTAATCTAGTATAATGTAGTATTTAGTTTGTATAAAATTTTATTAGGATTAATAAAAAAAATTATTCTCTTCCAAAACTCAAATGCGATATAGGCTTATTACATGAAATCAAGAGATTTCTGATAGAGTTTTGAAATGAAAGATCTTAGTAAAACCTCATTTATATTAGGTATTAAGATACTAAGAGATTGTTCTCATAGTATTCTAAGGTTATCACAAGAAAGTTATATCGATGAGGTTTTAGATTGATTTGTCATGAAAGATAGTAAGTCAAGAGATACCCTGTAACTAAAGGAGACAAATTTAGTCTCAAACAATGGCTGAAAAATAACCTTGAAAAAAATGAAATGCAAAAGATTTCTTAGGAATTCTGATGTACGCTCAAGTGTGTACTCGTCTAGAAATAACATTTGTGATAGGTATCTTGGATAGATACTTAAGTAATCCGACAATGTAGCATTAGAAGATAGTAAAATGTGTAATGTGATATTTGAAGACAATAAAAGGATATATGCTCACCTATCAAAAGTTTGAGAGTTTAGAGATCACAAGATGATGGATGTCAAGATAGAAAACACTCCACGTTTGAATACATATTTATGATGGTTGGAGGAGATATCTCTTAAAAGCTTGTCAAGCAAACTCTTCTAGCTCCTTCAACCATAGTTGCAAAGTTCATTACATGTTTTGAGGTGTCCAACTTATGATATAGTTGTGAAATTATGTCACTAATTTTCATGTGGTTGACAATATTGAAAAACCATTGAAAATCTATTGTGACAATAACTCAATAGTTCTTTATTCTAATAACAATGAGAGTACAACCAAGTCGAAATTCATTGATATCAAGTTTCTAGTTTCTAAGGAAAGAGTTTAAAATAAGAAAATTTGCATAAAACATATAGGACTGAATTGATGCTAGTTCATCCACTTACTAAGGGCCTAAAGTTTTTCATGAGGACAATGCTCATATGGGTGCAATTCCTGATAATTCCTTAGTTGGAGTAAAAGTCTCACTTGTATTTTATATACTTTTGTTCGATACTAAATAAATTAGATGTTTGTGTTTTGAATATGAATTTTTTATATACAATAATTACATTACAATTTTGAATTGATCTCTATAAATATTAAGGTTTGGACCAATTAGAAAAAGATATAATTAATATCAAATTACATGTAATTTTCATGCCATTTATCTATATTTAATTTATGTCATTGAAGTACATGTGACTGCGGTAATCATTGTCATTTAATTACACTGAGATATAATGAAACATGTAGTGATTTCCTATTCTTGTATGAGATGAACCA